TCCCAGTTATAATTTAAATTAATTGAATTCGATCAAAACTTTAGCTATTGTTTCTATTTTTTTTACTTCAACTGCGTCTGTCATATTTATCAAAGGAATTAAAACTTGGTTGAAAAATTTTAATTAAATTTAGTTTTGTAGATGTGAATTTTACCCAATGTATTATATTGAAATAATTAATTTCTCGTCTGAGTAAAATAGATAGATTAATAAAGAGAAACCATTCTATAGAAGATGGTATATCTGAAATAAATGAAAGACGATTTACGTATCTCCAACTGCTCTTCATCTCAGTAATAAGTATATATACATATATGAGTATGAGAAGAAATGCACGCTTCCATTCACACAAGGAAGTACGATGAGGCTGAGGGTATATATGGCTAAGCTGCTAATGAGTTAGTCGGCCCGTTGAGCTGGTTCTCTATCCTGGCGCTTCGTCACCACTTTAATTGTCTAAAGCGCAAATTGGGTGACTTTAATTAGCGTAATTATTTTGAAACATTCTATGGTCTTTGTATTATTTTTTGTTGTCAGTTTCAAACTTTTAAATCACATATTTAATATTTACAGTCAACTGTTAATTTTTACTTATGTATACTAAAATGTTTTTGAAACTCTAACTTTTTTATCACTTTCATTCATTTTTCTATCAAATGAACTCTTGGAAAATTTTTCAAATGCAAAAATAGATGTGAGAAAAATTTAATTTATTTAATATATATCACGTTTGAGAATATCTTTCATAATATTCAATGATGCTTTATTGGAATTTTTTATTTTTAAATAAAAGAAAAAAAAAATTGAAATCATGTTTAAATATATTTTTAATATATTTTCTCGTGTGTGTTAGATGTCAAATCTTTAAAGAAAACTTTAGGAATAAATATTAAAAAAGAAATGAAATCCATAATCAGCTTTGCTGACACATTAAGATAATAACGAAAGGTCACAAAAAGAACCACTTAATAATTGAAGTAAAAAAGCCAAATAAAATTTAGTACACGTGGCCATAAGAAAAAATAGATTGCTATCTATTAAAAGCGTCACCTTGATTCCAAAGGATGATATGGAATAATGGAATAATAGAACGCAATATTCCACCGCTCACGCAAACGATCGATCTCGGATTAGAATGGCAAGTAGAATTATAATTGTATCATTGTTAAAAGATATTATATATAAAATATAACATTCTGAAAGACAGATTGTGCTAATTATTTTCAACTAAAGAGCATATTCAAATCTATGTTACCAATAAACACATAACCCAATCTCTTTCTAACCGATATGTCCTTGGATATATCCACCCGCGTGCCTCTTTTCTCGGATTTAACGGTCCCACGATGCAGGACTTGAAGCAATCGAGCGTGATCCGAGGATAGATCGGATCAGTTGAACGGGAAAATGAATCCTCGGCTCTCTACTAGCACGATCGGTGCCAATTTATAGCCATAAGATATACATGGAGTTGCCGTTACTCGGCTTTCTTGTCGACTTTAAATTCTAATAGGTTTGAAAGTTGAGCAACCCGAAGCGGTAATTATAGATATAAATTAACAGGAATTAAATTAATAGAATTAATAATTTTTTGCACCAGAAAAAATTGTTTTCTCGTAATGAATGATCGTTGAAGCGCAAAGAAATGAATGTATAGTTGAGAGAGCATAAGTTAGATTGCTCTATTTTTGATTTCTTCGTAATTACTAATTAGAAGCCGACGTCTCGCCGATCAAGTAGAACGGATAGAACAGATGGTGGCTGGTAATTGCACAGGACGAACTTGGACTACGTTTGAGTCTCGTCTTCTTCTTTCCAATCCTGGCTTTTCATTCCAGGATAACTATACACTCTTAGCCTCTTGGTCCTAATTATTATATGAACTTGGTTAATTTTCTTTTTCTTTTGCACACACCCGACGAGAACCGTCATCATTTGTATGTGTCCATGTGTTAATCCTGAACCCAGTGATTACATTATTTGATTAATTGACTGACCGTTGACTATGGATGGAAACCAGGCGTCGAGTGGTTCTGCTTATATAGCGCTCGCTATAAATGATCTTCCTCTCTTATTGTGTACAATAATAAGAATATTTTTTATCACAGTCATTTTAATGAATTTATTAATCAGTGAATAGAAATCGATTCCAATTTTTTGTCCTCTTTTTTAGATATGTTTTTTTATTTAACCATTTTTTTTATGCTCATTATTGAAGTCATTTATATTATTGAATAGATTTCGATAAAAACATTGAATTAATAAAAATGAACTTCGATTCATGTTTGAATATTTTAATTGAATTTCGACTGTCTACATTTATATTTTATTAATATTTAATTAATTAAAGGACATGGTGTTGTTGAAAAAGTATTATTGATGCTTAATTAATTATTCAGGTTATTTAAAATGAATTCAAAACAATGTTAATATATATATATATGTATACTTTAAAAAAAAAAAAAAAAATAATAATAATATCAATACTTTTTGCCCTGTAGAAATTTCCAATACATTTATTCGTGATTTATTCATTATTGAAATTATTCGTTTTATTGAATAGATTAATTAAAACTTTGATTAACAGTAATATTATTTTAATTTAATAAATTTCATGTCCATTCATGCTTTGTTGATGACATCAATTAAAACAGCAATAAATGATTGAAATATTATTAATTTTGCGCGAGTAAATTAGAAAAGTAATAAAATAAATAATTAACTGAAATATTGTCAATTATATTTAAATAATAAAATCCGATTGTTTCACTAATGAAAATCGTTATAAAAATTTAACAATAAGCTCCATGAGTTAACTTACGATAGGATTATAGATGTATCGATATTTTTTATTAGCCTTCAATTACCGTGAGAAAAATTGAAATGCTATATGATTGTATAAAAAAGTAGAAAAATTGATATAAAAGAATAATAAAAAAAAAATCGGATAAACAATCACAGTGGAAGACAGAGCTTTTCTGGTTTTGCACGCGAATCTCGACAGATCAATTAACAGTTTAATTATAGAACTGTCAGAGAATGATTAAATTAATAACGAGAGACCACGAATCGAATCCGTGGCCCACTTTCAACTATACATTTCATATGGTTTCCCTCATTTGTCGTTTTCATCCGATTTTGTGTGTATCCACATTTATGCGTTTATTCATTTATTCTCATGTGGTTAATGCGTAATTATCTCATTAACCGACATAACAATACATTAAAATTAAACATTTAAATAATTTCCACATCAGCGGTATTTTGCGACATTATTTAAATGATTTTACTTTATATTTATTGCCGAATAAATTTCAAATTAAATGATCGTATCATTAACTTCAATAAATCTCCCTTTTTTCATTATACATTCGACAATTTACCTTAACGTACTATTAACATGCGAATATCTGAATCAGGCTGTGCATACTGAGTATCTCACGCACCTAATTGCTACATAAACATTGAGCTTTACGGACTGTACTTCACAAACACGTTGTCGCTTAGCAAATATCGACTGTACTATTAACATCCACGTATACTCAACTATATACACATATACATAGTCAGCGTGCGTTATCTATTAGCTAAAAATGCGTAAACTAATGTGTTTGTTTCCACTCTAATACCTACATAAACGTTCATTTTTCTTTGTTGCAAATATTTTCAGAAATCAGTGAGCAAATGTAACAATTTTATGTTATTTATGGACTTTTTCCGCACTTTATTTAATTAAAACAATGAATTAAAAATAATTAATATTTTTTATTGGATTTACTGGCGAGTAAATACTGTTATGAAGAGTGTGAAAAATTATCATTATAATTCTCTTTAATGATTCCGGTTTTATCGCATTAAATTTAAGCTTCTCTAATTCCTGAAATTGGTGAAGAAAAAAAGTATTTTATACATTTTTAGATAAAAGTATACAAATGAAGTGAAATAATTTGCATTTTACTTCATTCATGCATTAATTTTGACTTCATCTTCGAATTCTCTACGAGTGTATGATGTCATTAGGATACATATAAGAGCGAAGCCTGGAAAGTAGCTAGCTAAGAACCAACAACTCAAGTAGATTAAGCAAAGTAATTAAAACCAGTTTGATGTTATACGAAACCCGTCAAGGCTCCTAAAGTCTCTTCCACTCTTGTTTTTTTATTATCAACTTAATCAATCTATTATCCCATATTTTATTTCATTAATTTACTTATAAAATAATTAATGAAATAATTGATTGTCACGTTGATAACTTGAAATTCATACTCTATTCATAATAAAAATTATTAATAAATTTTAAATGAATAAAAAAGATAGCATTGATTATTATATTGAAGAGAAAATTATACTGTAAAATTAATTATCTACTTCTACTTGTAAAGTTAATAAATAGACCCAATCGTGACGGATTCTGATCGATCTTGCTCATTAAGTTGCCCGTCTATGGTAACAAAAATCTCTAGCTCTCCTCGAAGCAGTGCGAATAAATAATTAACCCCTACCATCACGACCTGTGCCCTTTCTTCTGCTCCAGATGCCCTGAAATACACTACCTTGATCCAGAAATGGAACAGTCGTCTCACTCTCTGGGATCGCGATAGACCAGCGCACGCTCGTTGAGTCTATCGGAACTCAGACTTCCAATTAAAGGACACATTCACAACACCTTATTGCACAGACACACACGTGCATTAGATGTTTGTAAAATAACTACATTGAATACTAAAAACAGACTTATCAATTACTTCAACCAATTGAATGGCATTTTATAAAGAAACAATGACTGTTCGGTAATTGAAGAATTCTTGGAAATTTTCAATCATTATCTTCATTTATTACTATCATTATTGGTATTATTATTGTGATTCTCAATTATTTGAAAGAATTTTAGCGAGAATGGTATTTTTAAAATTTAACATTATAGTCTCCAAACATCAATTAAATTAATTAAAATTAATGATTTCCTTTCTTCATTAAAAATGAATTTTTTTGCATTACAGGTTGTATGGCAATAGTGGCGCGTGCTCAGGCTGTGGTCAAGTGATACCGGCGAACGAGTTTGTCACGAGAGCGGGTGGAGCAGTGTTTCACATCAAATGTTTTTCGTGCAGTAAATGCGGTTCAACACTGGTAGCTGGTGACAAGTAAGTATTTTCTTCTTTTTCTTCCTTCTCTGATGATAAGACAACTTGATGAACTCGTTGTACTTGAGTGTTCTCAGAAAAATCTTGATGTAATTAATAAAGCTATATAAATAATTGGCAATTACTAATGAAACTCTTCTTGTCGTTAATAGATACTGTCTGCTGTCGGGTTCTCCAGTGTGCGAGTCAGACTGGCATAAAATGGTAAAGTCATCGAGTGTCGCAGCAGCAGCTGCAGCTGTTACTGGAAACGGTGGAGCGCCAGTGCGGAAGGCCAAGGTCGGTCGACCAAGGCGGAGCCGTGAATGAGGTGGCAACCCGGTCGGTCGTCCGAAGAAGGTTCAACCCACGACGCTTGTCGCGTCACCAGTCGCCCCGTCCTCATCATCGGTCCAAGTCTCACCTTCGAGTGTCTTGCAACCGAGTCAAGTTGACGTTGTAGACGTGGGCGTCGGAGGGGATCCCTATTCGCCGCCGCCACCGGGTCATCAGCACTACCATCAACAGATGGGACTAGGCCCGCTTGGGTTAACTCATCAGCAGCCGCAACATCTCCAGCAACAACCGTCCTACCAGGAGTGGATACCTTGGGGTGAACCATGCGGCTGAATGTTGAACTCTCAAGACATTCACGTGACAATCATCCTTCAGACTAGGAGACTGTCGAACTTTATGTGTGACGAGAGTGACAGTGATGATTAAGGACCAAAGCATTCTGAGTGAAGCGTGGTTGGAGGTAATGGTAGGCAATTACGAGAGAAAAGTTGTGGAACTCTTTGGGAAATATATCAAGAGATGCCATAATTCAAGATCTCCAAAGTGATCTTTCATCAATGCGGATTCTAGGATGTGTTACAGATTGCTTGTATGTCTACAGATTTAGGGGAAAACTGAAATAAGATCCCGCCAATTATCAAGTGAATGTCAAAGAGTACTTATATATTTTTACTTGAAGTTTGTGCACGCGATTAGACATTGAAAAGCACTTGTGAAAAACTCGATCATACAATAAAATAAATTATAAATAAATAAATAAATAAATAAAATAAATTAACGAAGAATACGCGAAATCTTTGATCTTGGTTTGTGAGAAATAGACTTAAATGGAAGTACCTTCATAAGATTGCTCAATAAAGAGGATAATGATATCTTCTTAGAAATGTTTGCTCATTTTCTTCATAAATAAGATCAATCTCATTAAAACAAAAAATAATAAACAAGCTCAAGGTTTTCCATGGCGACACAATTAACACTGAGTCTTTGTCTCTCGGACTTGATTGTAATTTTGATTGCAACAAGTGGAGAATAATTCGATGCATGTTAACGAGTATGAATAGCCATCAGGTAGGACCAGGTGCGGAAATACAAAATGGCTCGAATGATTATCATTCCAAATTAGGAGACCGGCAGGTGGTTGAGACCTTTCTAAAATCGAGTATCGTGAATCGGAAATAAGGGACAGAAACAACGAATAAAAGAAAGGACTAAATAAAATGTATTAAATAAAATATAAGGGGAAAGAAGTCAGTGGAATAAAAAACGAGAATTGTGGGCTCTTAGAAAATTATTTTTCTTTCAAAATCATCGGTCCTTTCGCCTCGACAAGCGCCAAGAGGAACGCCTAAGTTCGTTAGACGGCTTTTGTTTCCAACACCCGAGATTATGGTTAACGGTTACACTTTTACAGAACCCCATCAAACTGCTAGAGTCACTGTGTACTTGCATTCGTTTATTTTCCCTTGTGAATAAGAAATCATCATAAGAGATTCATCTGCAGCAAAAGTCAGCTTAAACTCTTAATATTTCCTTGCCGGTGGTCTCGTTACGCCAACTTCTACTGTGTAACCTTGCCTTTAATTCATCACAATCCAACATTGACTTTAATTATTTTCCGGATTATTATATGGTCGTTTGAAGTAATAAATGGATAGTATCTAACAAATGTACTTGGTATATGTTTTCCTTTAATTGTATTCAATGAAGAAGATACGAATTGCAAGCAATAATTATTGATAATCAATTTCTTGAAGATCAGGATTTCCGCGTGCGATATATATTTATTCAGAGTTTTAACAGTCAATTGAAATGCAACAAATACATAACTATTAAAAATGAAAATGATCTCGATAAGATACAATGAAAATACTGTATCCATGACACAAAAGGGACTTAATCATCGCCACTTAAATCTAATCTAATGATTTTTTTTCGGTGGAACCTAACGATGATAAAGTCCCGAACAAATACTTAATTTCTCAGAAGAACAGGGTTACAATTTACGATAAATGTAACATAAATGTGTTATCTTCATGCGATACGATACTAAATGTACTACTGTGCTTGAATCTAATGTCGATGCGATTAAATGATATCAATATCTGCTGATAACCAAGTCAGATCTTTTATTTATTATTTTAAAGAAATTACATACTGATGATCCATAATATTTATAATGATAATAAACTGATTCAAATCATTATCCATAGCATCGACAAATTTTTAATGCTCAGTAATGAATGAAAAATATATAAATCTTGGATGTAAAAAATTTCATTATGCAACTAATTGTTGTATCTCTTGTTCTGTTCTTTAGCGAACTTTTGTCTCCAATTGTTCCGCAAATACTGTTAACAAATTATGTAAGAATAGAGGTGATGATAGTCGAAACTCTGAGCTGGCTACTGAATTATCAGGTCTCTTTTTATAGTCATTATCACCCGGACATGACTTGACTGATCATAAGAGCTGATGCCAGACCTGATTAAGATGAAGACCTCGAGGAGTGAATTGATGAAAGAACAAAGCTAGCTAGCAAGAATGTGTAATTTAAACTTGTATATAGGTACATTTTGTAAATTGTTAAAAATTTGTGTGATATAAATGGTTATTTACTAATGCGGTGATACCTAAAAAAACGATTCATCGGCGGCTAAATAGCCGGGGTTTAGCCACGATGACACGATTAAATGGTTCAATGATTGTCAAGGCAACACCATAAATCAAGAAAAGACAAAAAAAACCTTATTATCAACATTAAAAATATTTTTTAATATCATAAGCTATTTGTTGAGTTAATGATTTGTTTAAAAATATTTACCATTCTTTTCCAACTATTTGTTGTAACTTGGCAACATTGAACAAGGTTCCTGACCGCGCGATATCCTCGGAGAAGTCGTTTCGAATAAAGATATTAATCTAGAAAAATAATCATTAAAATACTCGAAATTATCATGAAAATAAAAAAACCAAATAATTGAATATTAAATTGAACATATTTATTTGATGCATATTCAATGATAACAATGATTAATCTTATTCGAAACGCCTGAAGAATGAAATATTCTGACCGATGATGTTATGAATTGTGGAAAAACGCGCACGGTCAATGAAAAATCGATCTATTCGCGTTTAGTTAATTTTGTTATTTGATTTATCTCAACTTTTATGCCGCCTATTGGATCTCTAGTCGATCCTGGGCAATTGTAAGATACTATGGCACATACGTTTATTAATTAATTAATAAAAAAAATACAAGTTTCTAGAAAATACAATGAGTCCTTTTATTATTACTTACCTTTACTCCTCAATTTACATAATAACTTTTTTTTTTTTTTTTTCATCACAATGAAGCTATCAATTTTTTAAACTATTTCTGCTGTCATTATCATAGAATGTATTATTTGAACATGATATATAATTTATCGAAACTAATATATAATTCTGAAATACTGAAGATGTAACAAAATTGATAAAATGGTTAAATTATTCATTGTGAAAAGTGACAAGTATTACTATTAACCTCACAATAATTTTTTTCTCAATATCTTCCTACTTCCTATGATCATAGAAATTTTAGTGTAGCTGTAGTTTATAAAAAAATTATAGACTGTTGATATTCTATTACAAACACGAAGCCAAAGCTGATGGACAGTTGACAGTACTATTTTGTAGATACTATTATTAGATAAATAAATTCTAGAATATTGTATTCATTAGATTAAAGTGAAAAATGATGTTTGTGTATCAGATAAAGAATTGTTAGTAGTTTTTATTATTATTAAACTATTTTTTTAAAACAAAATAATAAATAATATTCAAATTTTTGAGTTAAACATGTGCATAATGTTATGATTTATGATGAGCACTATAATAAGAGAGATTATCTTTACAAGTTAACAAAAAATAATTAAGTTTATTAATCGAGACTTTAGCGCGATGCAATTAAATAATGTAATTAAATTGGCTATAAATTTATCTCATAATCTTCTTGATTAAAGATAAATAGTTCTTATTAATAAATTTATTCTATGAAAATATTCCTTCTAATTATCTTTGAGAAATTGTATTCTTTACTTTAATAAAACCTTCCCTCATTAATTTTTATTTATTGCAATATTTTTTTAACAAAATCAAGGCAAAAAGCTTAAGGAGTGAATCTCTGGGTTTGAATAAAATATTCCTGTCAAGTTGTTTGAATCGTTTTTTAAAATCCTGTTTGGGCAAACGAATTTAACATTATCATAAACTCTGAAAACAAGTTTCATAAATCATAAGACTAAAATGAACCACTTAATTGACGAGTCTATTTTAACTCTACATCCGTTTCCCTTGCATCTGTCTCATCAATCCTTTCGCATGAAATATTCCCTTTAATCACTGCAGTACAAGAGTAGATATTTGCACTTGGGATAGTTGCCATCTCGAAAGGAGTACATATAGTCAAGTATTTGACAGTGAAGACTGTTCAGATCGACTAATGAAACCGAATTCATTGCGTCTGAGAGCGAGAAATCACAGGAAATTTCTAATTGGCAATTCTCTTAACCAATAAGTCACTTCGAATGAACAATTCACCATTAGAGGCTAGGGAAAAAAATTGGAAAAATTAATTTGAATAAATATCAAAAGGATCATTTAAATGCCGAGAAAATAATTCGAATACTTTTCATGACTTTTCAATTTGCAAGACGTAAGTGAAGATTGACCAATTCTTATATATTTGGAGTTTTTGTCTGACTTACCGCCCAATCAAAATACTTGTATATATACTATATCGCCGTCAAGCTCGCTAATTAGACGCCACGTAAATCAGTCCCGAACGCTTGGCGTTAATTAACACGAGTTTCCGTTGGAGTCGCTTACCCACCTATTTATCGAACGACACGCTTGCAATATGGCGAAGACACGTGTGCCGTTAAGTAGTTTGAAGATCTGTATAGCGTTATAGTGTCAAGAGGAATATTAATAAGTATAAATATCCATTATGTAAATCAGATAATTATTAAACTTTCAAAAAAGTTTGTGAAAATTATTTTTTATACTAAGGACAAGCTTCTCTTGCTTTTCAATCAACTATTTGACATTTTTATGAAGCAAAAAAAATATTATAATAATTAATTTCTATTCTTTTCCACTATTTTTTATTCATTAATTAAAATAATTGATTTATTGTAATAAATAAATTTTAAAAATTAATCTAATGATTATCTTTGAGTAAAATATAATAATTTTTTATGTTTAACGTCTGAAAATATTTTTAATGAATAAATAGTTTGGCCAAAATGGCATACTTTTGCTCCAAAAAATATTTAATTTGATGATTTCGTCGAAAATAACTAACAGTCAATAATTAAAATTTTTTCTTTAATGGTCGAGTGTGTTTAGAGGATTTGTAGTGTTTTTCTTGTAGTAATGAGGATTTTTGGGAAATAACTCAAGAAAAATGGAATTTTTGACCAGGTTACGACGCTAAAATAGTCTCACGTTCATTCCCTTTATTTATAGTATTTTGTTTTTGTGCCTGGAGCCGCACACAGTTTAATGAATGTCTGCCAACTAATGAGGAAGCCTGATATACCGACTAGGGTGTCGGTCTGCCATTGAGGGAGGGTATTCGCAATGAAAGAGAGAGAGAGAAAGAACGAGATAGAATGGGTGGAGGAGACAGGGAGGAAAGCTTATTTATTTCGGACGTAATGAGACCGAGAAGGGTCCACGAGGCGAACCACAGGACGTTCAGGGAAATGGACAAAGACGGCTTTAAAGTAATAAGAATCTAGAGATAGAGTGAATAGCATAGAGAAAAGCCAATTATTGTGACCAAGCTAGAAGTACTTGTTACATTTTTTTGTTTATTTATTTATTTTTTCTTTCATTATGAATAAGAGATGGTACAATTACTAGAAGACCTTGTTATGAACATGGTTCTAAGCTATCTAGAGGGAAAATATGGTATTGTTATTATTAATAATTGGTGAATAAACAATCAAATATAAGCTGAATTTAATGATTTACTCAACATCAAATTCTGTTTACAATAATTTACATATTATGAAGCCCTGTCAACAACATTTATGGAAATTTCAGGATTAATTCTTTTTTCATGAGTTGGCACAGTTTATTACTATCATTTCGTTGGGTACAAATTTTTTTATGAGTGTAAAAATAATTTTCTATATTGTTTTTCAATATATCCAGTTATTATTATTGCATTTTTGAAGCACATTGTTATATTTACTGTCGATAAAACATTGTGATGAAGTATTTTTTAATAATATTATAGGTAATAAAATTTTTGAAGTATTTGAACGCTTGCTAACAACTATTAGATGAAAAATTACTAGCTTTTGAAGAGGAAAAAGTCTCTGTAATTGAAAATCGATACCTCAACTTAGAAAAAAATAACAAACTTTTACCAATGTAATTTTTTTTAATAATTCTTCGAAAATTATCTTCATTCAAAAATCGATGTTTTTTTTAATATTCTAGAATTTTTAGAATTATTAAAAAAAATGTGGAAAGTAAATTTCAAGTAATTTTTTGTGAGATTCTTTTTGAATAGAAAAGATTATCTTCATCCATGTTAATACTATCTGGATGATATAATTTATAATTGAAGCCAAATATGTATTATCAAATCAAATTGTCCTCTTGAGTTAGTTCTACGTTCAAAGGCTCATTATTATCCATCAGAAATTAATTATGGCATTCCGTATTAGCTCTAGGAATTAATTACATCCGGAAGTTGAACGTTTGTTGAATAGAATTTCTCTAGAAGCCATTTAAGACGTTGTACATCTCGAATAATTAAATTTTATTATCAAAGGAATTAGGAATTCCTCAGCTTTGATATTTTATATTAAATAATACAATTAATTAACAGTGAAAATTTACTGGCAATTTATGGGGATAGGTAAATGTCTAGAGAGGTCAGACTTGGTATAGGTCGAGGGATGATCAAGTCTGCGGGAGCTTTTAGGTTTGCTCGACGAGTGGGTGAGGGTTGACTAGTGGTTAGGGAGTCAGCCCGTTGTATGAAGCTTGGTCAAATGCGGCTCCACCGATAAGGGTGCCAGCGCATGTTAATTACTAGTACGACCCACTTAATCACTCCAGTAAAGTCATCAGTCCGTTCCAAATCGATACATTGCTTCTAGGCTATCTCGTCCTTACTGAAAACCCAGTTTTATATCAAGATCAATTAATCGATAAAGACCTTAATGAATAAACTTTCCACTTGTGATAAAAAAAAAAAATATTAATTAGAATTTTAATGTATGCAATAGAATTATTTTTCATCTTCTCTTTGCTCGTGCTGGTATTTCTCTCAACGATTGAGTTAAAATTACTCGAATAAATAAATATTGGCATCAAAGAATAATAATTACAGCAAATATTAATTTCAATGAATAACAACTGACATACATCATTCTCTTATCTAATTTTAAATTTATTTTATGAGCCCAATCATTTTTATTAGGATAATTAAAATGAATCAGTGGGCTATTACTAAAATAAGTAATCAAATAAAAAAAGAGAACGAGTGATAAAAAAATGATAAATTTAGCTTCCCAACCTCGAGTTAAATTTAAAACTGAATGTTTACTTGCACTTTTCGATTATCCGAGAATTATTATCTAGCAAGTCTATTGTCCTAGTCTACATAAATATATTTCTTGGTTATTTTGCAGTTTACGCAATGTAGGGATTGTAATCAGTTCTAGTTATATACACTTGCTTTCAACTTTGACTTTAATCCACGCTCGCCTGTACTGGAGTCTCTTCCATTGGCGGATTTAATTAAAGATGGGATCTCCGTGGCGGCACGCCGTGTTTTTTACGTAAATAATTAATATTGTAATGGGTTGGAGAGAATACAGAGAACAAGCTATGTGAAAAGAGTAAGATAGAGACATTGTGAGAATGTTGAGAGTCGTTGGAAAGGGGAGGGGTGGAAGAATGAACGAGGGTAGATAACGTTGGGGAATGAGGAGTTGAGGGTCAACAGGATACACCACCTGCGAGGTCAAGGGTCGAATTATTAAAAACTAAAGTCTATGAAGTTTAAAAGCTTGTTTGGATTGCTTATTAATTTTTTTTTCTCTTCACTAATTACTAATTAGGATAAACTAATTAATATATGTTTACTTGTAATGTTTAGCCTAAAAGAATAATCATAATGGAAGTTACTGTACAACTTCCCCTATTTCATTTTCAACATGAATTATTTCTCACGACAAAAGTTTAATTAAAATGGCTAAACTCGT